TGTTACACTTATTGTTACACTGTTAGTGATACACTGTTAGTGATACACTGTTAGTGATACACTTATTGTTACACTGTTAGTGATACACTGTGGATCACAACAATATCGTGACAAGTTGCGAGGGAAAACTAACATAAAGCCTGCTTTGGGTCTTCGTCCTGGACAGCTCAACTTAGTGATATGGAAATGAAACCAGAAAATAAGTCAAAGTTATTCACACAGCACTTACAGCTAATCTTGTGTTACACGTGAATCTGCTCGTTATATTCTGCTTGGTTTAGTTATAAAGATTCTGCCTTCTTGTTTTCTGAATTCGTTACTGTTTTTGTTATTCTGCTCTTTAAGCTGGGCTCTTGTGTGTCTTTGTGTTGACCTGCTAACTCCAGTGTAAACACTGCTGTCATGTTTTTGACTGGGTGCTAGGATTTCCCCATTTCAAAATAAAATTGTGCATCACTGGCATGACATTAAGTTAGTACAGTATTGCCAAATCTGTAACAATGTTAATTTAATATTTAATTTAGCTACTATTTTGGTTAAAAACCTTTTTTATGTGTTTGTACAAGGTGTTTCATATTAAGGATTTGGATGTTTTTACGACACTTGGTAGAGGTATGGCTCTAGATTTCTTTCATGGCACAGAAACTCATGCATTTTAAATGATCTTCTCTACATGCTACAACAGTACTTTCTGGTAGAATATGTGGCCACTAAATTTCAAAAAAAGGTTTCTTGCTTATTTGTAAACAGCTTTCTGCCTTCCTCATCCCCCATTCTTCCCAGAAATAATGCTGATATCTGGAACTCATGTCGGAAGTCGTGTATGAAGAGACAGCCACGATGATCGCCGCAGGGGAATTGCAGTCGTTTGTCCCATTTGGCCGCGAGCACTGCAGGAACCATCCAAATGCCTTCAACCTGCAGCTCAGAGAGCTCCAGCCCGCCTCCGAGCTCTGGTCGTCAGACGGTGCCGCCGGCCTGGTGGGGTCCCTGCAGGAAGTTAGTCTGCAGGAGAGAGAGAGGGTGAGACTGGATGGCATTACATTTTACATAATGGTACCAATATTCCACCTTTACAAGCACTTCTGTTTGTGAAACATTAAAGAAACAACTAGAAAAAGTAGCGTACAAGGATAAAAACAGAGTCCAACAAAAGAAAGTAAGGAAATATAATACGTTCATGCATGGAACTGAAAATCTTTGTTTTTGAGTGTAAAAGTAACGTTGTAATTGATATAATAACTGCAATAGATAATACTACCAAGTTTAAGTCTATACAGTTTGTATTTCTGATTCTGTCCTTGTGTGTAATGGATGTATTTTGATTGGCAGGAATGCTGGCAGCTTAGAAAAGGGTGCATGAGAGTCAGGGAGGAAGATGTGGAGTTTGAAGAGGAGCTCTACACAGCAGGAACCGTGGTCGTCTGGAGCCAGGGCAGCCGGACCCAAGCCTCTAACGTGTACAAGGCCTTCACCGTCGACAGCCCAGTGCAGCAGGTCGGTTACTGAATGCTGTCTAAACCATCGTAATGCCATTCTGCTGTCTGAGAAAGGGTGTTGATCAGTATTTTTTGAGACTCAGTGGAAAATGTAGATGTAATAAAGTTGTCAATTACATCTCAAACAAACATTTCTGGGATTTGACTCTCTTTTTATTTTGTCTGCAGGCCTTATGGTGTAACTTTGCTGTTCCTACGAACAAGAAAGACGGTACTGTATCATTAAAAAGCTTCTTTTTTTTTATTGAGAAGCAAGTCTTGTTTCAGGTCAATTTCAATTAATTTACATTGCAGTTCAAAGTAAAGTTAATAAAGAATATATCTTTAATGTTGTTTTGCAGAGGAGGAAGTGGAGCAGACTGTGTGTATCGTCCAGAGTAGCTGTGTCAATGTTCACACAGTGACCGGGAAGGATTTCATATCACCGCTACCCTTCCAGGTGAGAGAGCACTAGTGGGGAATTTTTCATACCACAGCAAGAGAAAAGTCAAGACTTGCAGAGTTTCTAAAGCATCAGCTAAATTTCAATTTTAATCAACCTTTGATCTTTTTCCTCTCTCGTCACTTTGGTTTCCTTTGGTCTAACTTTCCACAGACAGCCCAGTCGTATTGTACGACTTTCTAATTTTGTAGGTGTAACATCAGTGGCAGTGTTCAAACGGTCATGCTCTCTGACTCTTATATTCCACTGAGTAAAAAGTCCCTAGCTGTTTCTTTTCTATATAGATGCCGGATGCTTCTTTTTTTTTTTTAGTTTGTGTGTGTGTGTGTGCGTGCACGTGCAAGTGAGGGTTAGTCAGATTAGTGATATTCCCCAGGGCTGAACCATTGTGTGGCTAACTGATAATAATGAAAATTTTGCATCGCTGACAATGCGAATGAACCCCATCAATATCAGATACCTGTGTGTTTGTGTATTTGTGACCATTTGAGGGTCGTGTGTGTGTTTGTTTTTGTGTGTGTGTACTGGTCTCATTAGTCTGCCGCACAACAACAAGGTGTAATTTGATTCAGGGGTGTGTTTTTACCAGTAAGTTGTAGAAACGGTGTTTGTGGGCTGCTCAGAGGAAATCGTGTTTTCTTTTGCTTCTCTTGCTTGAGGCCTATGGAGGTGGTGATGAACTGTTGGATATTTAGTAGCGGAAATGACACCCACTCTCATAAAGTGATTAAAGTGATTAAAGAGGCAAGCAGACAACAGCTTGGTGTTTTGAACAGAGTAAGAAAATCCTTGTGAGAGCCTTTGCAACAGGAGGAAGCATCCCCTGAATGGGGTGTCCTTGACACTAAAACCCTCTCTAGTTGACTCTTCAGCTATCTGAGGAAGTGGCAAAGAAAAGCACAAAATGGCTGCATTAATGATATACTAAAATCCTGCATCCTCCATGACTGCATATGGCTGCATATCTTTAGCTGTAAACCCCCCCCCCCGATATTGTCTGAATCTGCATGCAGAGGCTGTTTAAATAATTTAATATGGAACTGTTTGCTAACTAAAACGTAATTATATGTTGTGCTCGCAACTTGTTTAAAGTGACTGGAAAAATCAATTAATGCAGGTTTAAAGAGTTGCCTTTATGTCTGCTTGTCAAGATGTAGAAATGGCATTTGTGTCTGTGCTTAATCAAGTAAAACGTAAACAATAAAGGTGAACATTTTTATTATCATTAATACACCACAACATTACAATATGTGAAATGTGTCTTTCCCCTCTTGTCTCCTCCAGGTCTCAAATGTCTGGGCAACCAAATTTGGACTTTTGTTGGAAAGAAAAAACGCAGTGACTGACGCACAACTCAGCACCCCCGGGTACACAATAGCACTGCACACTCACACATAAGCATACACAAGATCACAGCAAAGAGCAACAGTATGGAAAACGAATCCAAACACCCATGTGAAGTGAGGCAGTCACACACATCAAAGAGCAAAAACCTGAAAACACGTGTACATTAAACACCTCCTAGTAACACTTATGTACACACACACACACACACACAATTTGAAAGGTAACTGAGTCACTGAGCTCTTTTTCTCTATAGGGAACCTCTGCCCACAGTGTTCAGCATGCTGCACCCTGTAGACGAGATTGCACCAGTAGTGTGTAAACCTACAGGTACGACACACACAGTCACACATACTTTCCCACACTCTGTCTCTTTCGTCCCTCTCTTCTGACCTGATTCTGTGTATGTGTGCATTCTTTCCAGGTCTGTTTGAAGGCTCCCGTGTGCAGTATGCATCTGACGCCACCATGAAGATAGTGTTCAGCTGCTGTCAGCCCTCTGTCGTTGTCTCCTATGACACTGTACAGGGAATACACTCCGTCTGGGCCCTGCGCAAGGTCACGCCTGATGTGAGTGATCACTCAGACACACACACAAACAAAAACAGAAACTCTACCTGTACCTAACCTCCAGCTGTTAACCACCACCAGGAACGTTCTACTGTCCTGCGGTGTACAGCGGATCCAGTTGGCACGCCGTTGGGTCTGATGGCGTCGGGCTTCCTGACCTCTCACCTCCGTAATATCTCCCGCCTGGATTCCCCCGGTGGCAGTGGGGCAACCGGGCTCGGTCCCAGTACTGGAACAAGGTAGTGGAAGTGGAACTAGTTGATTAATCAATTAGTCAGTAGACAATTAGAAGATTAGTCAGCAATTATTTTGATAATTGATTAATCATTTTAATAATCAATTTAATGACATAATCAATTTAATGACATCCCCTTGGGTCTTAGTTACAGCCCTGCAATTTCGCATTTGGCTTTCATATGGAAGATCCTTAATCATGTGTGCAACTATTAAAAAAAATTAATTCTAAACTAAATCAAAAGCAAAACCTGTCCAAGACAACATCAATAGCAGTTCAGTTAAATCTATGCATCGAGAGTAAAAAGACACAATTAAAGATGAGACAGTCAAACCTGTCACAGATCTATCTTAGGACCGACATTTATATGAATGAATGATGAAGACAACTTGAGATTGACAAAAACAAAATCAAGTACAGAAAAGAAGAATAAACAGATTTGTCCGCTTGAAAGCATCTCTGGTCCCTTGCTATTGTCTGACCTTGTTTTTTTGCTCCTAGTTGTGCTGTTGGTACCAGCTCTCCTCTCCACTACAGCGCTCTGCACAGCCACCAGAGCAGGGTCATAACGTCTTCACCAGGATTACACTCCCGTGTTCATTCCCCGAGTATATCCAACATGGCCGCCCTCAGGTGAGTAGAGGCACTTTGTGTTTTTTTTATTTTAAAAGAAGCAATCTAGAAAACACATCTGTGACATAGATGACAGGACAGGTACGAGGGGATTTAAAGATGTCCTGAAAACATAACATTTCAAATGATTCATTTCCAATAATTTTGTAAATATATTATTGAGTGTGAACCCAAATGACATCTGAAAAGACCCATTCATCAAAACGCTTCTCCACAGTGTTACTAGTGGTCAAAAACTCACCCCTTTCTTCTTTTTGTATTCTCTACCTTTCCAGCCGTGCCCACTCTCCAGGAATGGCGGCTCCGTCCTTTTCGGGTGCGTCGCGTTTTAACACATCTTTCCACAGCCCGTCCCCCAGGGGGCACCATGGCTTGTTATCCTCTCCCAACAGCACGGTCAATGAGACGATGCTGGTGCCCGAGATGGAGCCCATCGTACCCGACCTCTGCATGGAGCAGCTGTGGAGTGAGACGGTCACAGCTGGCTGTCACAGGTAATTACCAGGACTGAAGCCTACTGAAAACAGATGCAGTCTGTGCAGGCACTTGATTCACTTACATCAGTGACTGAAAATGATTGCGAGCATTGAGAGTTGATTTTAATATGTTTTCAACTTGGTCTTGTGATTGATGGCCTTTGTTCCGGCAAGTCCAGTAATGTAAGACTACGTAGACTTTGACTTAATTATAACACCTGGACTTCAGGACACATAGCTTTTTACGATCTACAGAAAATGTATTAGCTTATTCTCATAAAGTGTGTGTCACCGTCTGTCATTACCTGCATCCTCAACAGAAACCCAGAAATGTGTTGTCAAATAATTCTCTTTGAACAACAGAACATCAATATAAATATTTATTTAGAATGTAATTTTATTTTATTCTTTAATCACAAACTCCTGAAATACTTAAAGTGAAGCAGTTCACCATGACTGGCCAGCTCCTTTATTTAGAATTATTGAACTACTGAAAGCTTTATGTTGACCAATCAATGACAGCATCAAAAGAGAGCTTCATACCTAGAACCATTCTCAGTGACTTAAAAGGTCCTGACCACTTCTAGCTCAAAAATGAAATGAAGATAATTTCTAAATGAACTGTAAGCTTGCTCCTGGCAGCGATGGTAATTGTTAGTAGATTATTGTTAAAATGTTTGTGAAAATGATCCCCTTTTTTGTGTTGTTGTGTTTTGTTGCTTTTCTTCTTGTTCAGTAACTGCCGTTATTTCACATGAATCTTCAACTTTTTTTCAGGGAGATGAGCAGCCAGGCGTCTAAAGTATTCCTGACCTCTGACCTCTGTGAGAACCGCTACCTCTGTTTCCTGGTGGAGTCTCACCAACAGCTCAGGTCAACAAACAAACACAATGCATTTGATACAGACTCCACTAGCATGCACATACTTTATATTATGGAACATCAGGGCCCATAAAGAGTCTGGGAAAGTCTCAGATGATCTAAATTTAAGGTCCTACAGAGCAGTATGACAGTTACTTAATGGTTCTTACAGAAACATTGATCACTCAAGTGCAAGATGCATAGACCATCAGACAAACTTTTCTGTTCAAAACTTTTTCATTGTTTCCACAGATGTGTGAAGTTTATTGAGAGCAACGATACGTCTCAACTCATCTTCACCTCCGTCACAACCATCCCTGCCAAAGATGCAGAGCCACTGCAGGTATGTTACAAAATAAATAAAATAAATATAAAATAATATAATTATAAGATTTACAGAGAGTTTGAGAGGGCCGTGATGATACGTTTCCTAATCAATACTGATTTCCGGATCAGGAAAAACACATCATTTTATGTCTTTTGTCAGCATATTTGTGATGAATAATAGACAGTCATGTTCAGTTAGATATATTTGGCAAAAGTTGGTACTGAACCAAAAAGTTTAATAAAATAAAGTGAGTTATGCATTTGTGTGCGTTAGTTAGACTCAGATATCTGCAAACAAGCGCAGTCTGGTATTTTTGGGTTTGACACTGCCACCACTGAAAACTGACAGACAGAAATATTCAGTATGTTTCTGAAAACAATGCAGTTTGCAGCTATGAACATTTTCAGACTCCTCTGCTTTCACTGTCTCTGTTTTTGTGATATCTGTATGGATTTCATCACTGGTCTAGCATCCACGTATTTGTTTAACATCAAATTCTTGTGTGGGAAGTGTGAAGTTGTGAATACTGCGTAGGAGGCGTTACTGTATCCTGTTTAATGCAACCAGATGTTTGAGTTCCATCTGATATAATTAGGCCTTTTACTCCCATTACATATCGGAAACCTATGTGTGTGTATGTAGTTGAGCTAAATCTCTGCCTCAGAGGACTTCATTGAATATCATCATCAGACCAGAAATTTATACAACCAGTCTTAATGACGGCACTTTATTGATGAGTTATACTGTACAACAGAGTAATTATATTTTGAAATGTTTGTAATGTTTTTATTGTTTTTAATTCAATTCCAGCTTACCTACTTATAGATAGTTTTTAAGTTACTTTTGCAGTTTTAGCTGATCTGGAAAGGATGTGTATTAGATTAGGTTTTATTTTTTAGTTATCATTTTATTTGAATTTTTAGAATAATTTCTAAGGGGTTTAAGAAAATATCGCATTGCTATATTTTTGTCGATTCTCAAAAATGCTGTATATATTTTTGTGTTTAAACCCCCAACCGCTAGATACTAGTGTTGTAAATGTAAACTGCGGGCTATGATGTTGGGTGCTACAGGGACTGTGGTGGTGTTTTCTTTCCTAAAATTAGATAAAAAGAAAAAAAAAAATAGAATAGCAACTTATCGTTCTCATCTGTGATGTTCTAGACAATGGGGATGCACAGGCAGTTTTGGCTGTTTTTAGTTTTGATGTGAACAATCTAGTTTGTTTCAATTTTGTTCTTCTATATACAACTGCTTCATTTTTTTACTATTGGAATATGTAAACATGTAGATATAGAAAGGTATCTAGCCACAGTTTTGATAATTGATTAATTGTAAGCATGAATACTAAAAGCTGTCAGAGAGCAAACCTAAATATCTTTGGGTTTTGGACTGGTGGTCAGAAGAAACCAGCAATTTAAATACGTCAACTTTGGCTTTGGGAAGTTAGGATTTTTTAGACCGAACGAACAATCGATTGAGAAAATTATAAGCAGACTAAACAACAATCAAAACTGCCGCCCTAGTGACTTAACATGTCTCTGACAATAAAACTTTGGCCCACAGAATATTGATGCCATGCTGGTCCTGGAGGCCTGTGGCAGTCTGGTTCTCTACACAGGAATCACCAGGGTAAGACGGGGTCACATTAGTCCATCACAGCAGTTTGAGACACAGCAGTCTTTACATTCTGTAGATAACAATTATAACATTTCTGCTGTCTTTTTTTGGTGTTCCTCAAGGTCAGTAAGGTGTTTGTCCATGGCCTCCTGTCGCCCCCTTTCAGTCTCACAAACCACCTCCCTCACCTGAGCACGCCGCTGGACAATGTTAGCACGCCGGCTAACGCTGGCAGTAGGCACCTCCAAAGACTGGACGAGGTACCTCCATGTGTTGTAAACATATTCTTCTCAATGCTCTGATAGTTTTAAAGACTTGAATTTATTTTTCTCTAGTAATGCATTTTTTTATTTATTTTTTTACAAAATTGTGCCTGTGTTACTTTACTTCTGTGCATTCATATCATCTGCACACAGTTAGTATAGTTGCAGATATCAGTTTATCTACTTGTTGCTATTCAATATTGTACTGTCTGAGAAACAATTTCCACAGAAAGATAATCTATCACAGTAAACATGATGGCTTAATTTGGTTTCTTGTTTTTATAATTATTCAATTTTGCTGCTTGAAATAATCAGGAAATAATTTCTCAAAAACATTACACCCCATGTCTTTTTATTTACTACCTATTTTAAAATGTACATTCTGTCGCCTCATCTTGGCTGCTCATTTCATTTCCTTCTGTTTTCCTCCTTTCTTCCTACTTTTGCTTCACCTCTTTATTTCTGCCCCTCTCCTCTAGGCCGCTATGCCCTCACCAGTGTCAGAGCTGAGGGGTCCAAACATTAAACACCACGAAGCTTCATTTTTGGAAGATTACACTTTCCAACAAACCACGCCTTACATCCATGCCTTGCGGGACCCCGTCTGCAACCGGGTCACTCTGGTAAGTTGGTGTGTGTGTGTGTGTGTGTGTGTTTTTAAAAAGGGCAAAGAAATTACTTTTTGCTACCTCCAATACTTTTACTAGAGAGGCTTTTTAAATTATTTTTTCCCCTGCAATTGAGTTTACAAGGAGTGGTCTAATCTGTTGATGGTTTAAATTACACCAGCTCGGACTAAAAGGGGATTTTGAACATCGTCAACATGAACCCTACCCCAGATTACATATACCTAGAGGAATGGACTCCTAGCTGGGCTGACATTAGTTGTTTCATAAGATTGATTTGTTTGCTGTTCCAGAGTCATGCTTAATTTTATACCTGCAGCAATTTAAGTCACTATTTGTGAAGTCAGCACTCATAGTTTTCTGTTTGACACACTTATCTTCTGAGGTTCAGTGGATTCATTAGGTACAAACTGCAGAAATTAAACAAAAAATCATATTGGAGGTGGACTAGACTGAATGCTAACTTGTTGTGTCATAAAACATTTTTCATATTTCAACCTCGTTTGGTTTCACAGCTGTGTGTGTCTCCCTGAAGGTGTTGTTTCGTGTGTGTGTGTGTGTGTGTGTGTGTGTGTGTGTGTTCTTAGTCTACCGGAAACAGTCTGGGTGTGTGTGATGTTGGTTTGTTGTGTGTGTTGTGTTGTTGTGTGTTTGTGTGTGTGTGTGTGCGTGTGTGTGTGAGATTCAGGCCTAGTAATATCTTTGTGAATGGGAGCCATAAGCAGTGAGTGTTTTGTTTTGTGTTTCCTGCCTCCTGGGTCAGTTTCTGTCAGACTTGGTAACAGACAGTCCTCTTCAGCCCTGGGCCTCTACAGAATACACACCATTAAAAAGAAACTACCAAGTGTAGAAGTGAAAAACAGTGTCTGCAGGCTGCTGCTTTCTTGACATATTCCCTTCATTGATTCTTCCTTTTGCCCTTTCATGTTCAATCTGAAGACTAATTGTTTACTAATGCAGCTCGCTGAAGTTTTTTCAAAGCACCAGCTGCTCTCTTTTAGTTGTCAGGTCGACGGTTTTTATTTTCTTATCAAGGTTCCTTCTCATCAGTTCAGCAGTGCCGTTAAACCCCTTCTGGAGAAAATGTGACCATTTAAGCACAAGATGTTGTTGGTCCTTTTTTTGCTCCTATAACCACAACTATTCAAAATAATTGAGCTAAACCAATGTAATAATGTATACAAGTTATGATCCTCCCAAAAAAGTCTTCATTCACAACTAAAAACTAGATTTCTGTTATTTTTCTGCAATTGTTGTGATTTATTTAAACGTGCACCAAAAGTAACTTGGTTATGACATTTTTGGAACACATACAGGTGTAATTTGTGTTCAGTACAATTAAGACAATACAAAATCAGATTTTTTTTACACAATGTTTACATTAAACAGTGGTACACAAATTTTTACTTTTATTGATATCCTTTTTATTTTTGGGGGAAAAAAAACAGATATTGATCAGTGTTTGCTAAAAATGAAAAAGATAATTTAGGGTATTTCTGATATGGGTTTGTAAATTGTGATGGATAATTCTGGTTTTTTGGATGTGGAAAAATGTTAATACTAATGCCTCTATGTGAACCACATAAACACACAAAACTATCAGCGAGAGATTCTAAGTTTCTAGTTATTCTTAACTGCCTGCCACAGGGTCGGATTTTGTCCAGATATCCCTTTGAAGTCAATGAATGACGCATTACTACTTTAGTTCCACAGGAGTTACCAGAACCAAAAAGAAAAAAAAAAGTCATTGTTGCCCTGCTTTTAAGTATAGAACCAGCCTGTTGTGTCTAAACAAGTTCGAACTTTTTGTCTTCGGCCGACGATCGCAACTCAGGGAACACCTGCCTGAGACATCACTGATTTGGATTGTGACTTGAACGTTTAATCTGATACATAGAGCAGCAGCAGTTTGATAATTCAGTGCCAGTGTTGGTTCCTGTCTATTGGAGACAACTGATCATTGCACACACCCAATTTCTTTTTTCTTGAAGCTGGATGTTCTGCTTCTTTGTCAAGGTAATTCAATGCCGTACGTGATAGACAACGGGTCTTTTTGCACAACAAGACCATTTGGACATGTCACAAGTAGAAAGGTGTAAATAATAAGAACTTAATAGATGGCTGAATTCCATTTAGCTATTTCAGTTTCAGGATGCATCGGTAATTGTGCATGCTGTCTCACTGTTCAGGGCTATTAGTCAACACATGTCCCTTTTCTTCGTATTACAAGTCAAATGTCTGCTGTATTCAGATTTTTGCTTTCTGCTTGTAGGAATAGATTATATATATGTGATAGTTATGTGTCTCAGCCTCAGCGTCTGGATTGTCCTAACAAACAGAGCTGACGCTAGTAACATTGCACTGATATGAAATTGAAACTGAAAGTGTATAATTTGAATTTGTGCAACAATCTCTCTTTAGGAAGACTAAGCAGTGGCCCTCAATGAATGAGGATGCTCCATCCCAGAGATTTGCTACTCCAGAGCTGGGTGAGACACACACACCACACACCACACACCACACACAAACACAAACAAAACAAAAACAAAAACACACTTTTTTCTTTCTATGATTGTTTTACTGTTATTTTTTACACAAACACACAGCAACTGCAAAGAAACAAACAAACTCTTTGCACAGATACAATAGTTATATAATTGGTATAATACTGTACAATTGGTATACTATAGCTATAGGATAGCTATTGCTGCTATTATTGTTGTTGCTTTCTGTTGTTGAAATGTGTACTTTTTCAGTTGGACTACACACACACACACACAC